ATGTGACCGGCTTGAAAATTTAAAATTACGAAAAATTGACGATGTAGAGATGGATACATCAGTTCATGTCGCAATGGAAATTGACGAGCCACGATGTGCGGAGACAACATTGTCTGGTACAAATTACGAAAAATTACCAAAAATAAACTATTTAAGTATAATTGGAAGTGGCGTTGATTTCATTTTAAAACATTTCAAGTTGTTAATGACATCGTCAAATGTTTCGGACGATCTTGAAAATGATTTGAAACGCGAAAAAACTTATTTATTTAATGAAAATTTAGACTTGTCGCATAGAATAGAATCTGTTAGAGAGAGTGCAGCCCGTTTTCACTACAAATTGATAGACTTGATTGACGAGTTTTCAAAAATTACGACCTCGTGGAAATCAAAAAAGTATGAAGATTTAGTAAATGCTACGTTAGTTAGTGCGTCCGTTCTATCCGACGAGCAGTGTAGTATGGAGACTACATTGTCCGATGCAAATGACGGAAAACTGCCGAAAATAAATTATTTAAGAACAATTGAAAGTGGCATTGATTTCATTTCAAAACGTTTCAAGTTGTTGACGATATCGTCAATGGTTTCAAACTATCTTGAAAATTATATTAAACGCGAAACAAATTGTTTGTCTGATGACAATTTAGACTTGCCTTGTAGAATAGAGTCTGTTATAGAGAGTGCAGCCCATTTTCATAACAACTTGTTAGAATTGATTGACGGGTTTTCAAAAATTATGACCTCATGGAAATCAAAAAAGTATGAAGATTTAGTAAATGCTACGTTAGTTAGTGCTTCCGTTCTATCCGACGAGCAGTGTAGTATGGAGACTACATCGTCCGATGGAAATGACGGGAAATTGTCGAAAAAAGTCTGTTTAAGAAAGATTGAAAGTAACGTTGATCGTATGTCTAAACGTTTCAAGTTCTTAACAATAGCGCCACGTGTTATGGATTTTTAAAATAGTTCGAGACGCGATAAATAAGCGAGTACTATTTTGTTTTCACTATAATAATCCTTTATATTTATATTATATGTGAATTTTTGTTATTACATTGGATAAATTTATTATTCTTTAACTAAAATATAATTTATCGTGTACTGTGTTAAACTTATCAAAATACAAATATATAGGTACCTATAACCGTGTTGTTTAATCATAAAAAAAAACCTATAAACATACATGATTCGACGCACTAAGCCACGTTATTGTTATTGTTTGTTTATTATAATATCGTATATCGTTTTTTTTTTATCGTTGTTTTTTTATACATTGATTATAAAGTTCTTTTGTTTTATAGTCCGTACAATACCTATATGGTACTCGAATATCTCCCGATAAAAGTCAGGATTAAGACATTTAGAGGTTCTTAAGCAAAACTTTTTAACAGAGCCGTAAAGAATTAAAAAAAAAAAACTTATTTAAAAAATATTACTCCATATGTCTTAAAGAAATACAAATAATATATAATTCAATATTAATATAAGATCTAGACGTAGTTTCCACTAAAGGTCCTCGACTAAAATATATTAAAAACAATTAATCATTGAAAAATACAATAGGTTTAAGATTAAATGTATATAGATAAAGAACATAAATTATACTGTCTATATCTTAGTCTTCGATTATTACATTGAATCAATATATTATAGATTTACGACCATTTTGCATTTTTTATAAGAATTAAATATTATATGATATTATATTATTATGTATTCAAATTGTCGATAAAATAATAATAATATTGTAGTACTTCCAGTTAACTATAATTATTTCCCACACTTCTGTATACTAATAATATATCATTAAATTGTACATCAAATTAGTCATAAATTTGACGAAAAAAAATTAATATCATTTTGATTCTAATATTCTTAACATAACCTATTATAATGCTATAAAGAAGTTTATAAACACGTCAAATTTCTCGTCATAAAATCAACGCAAACAGCAAAATAGTATGAAGAAAGCTCATAAAATTAGAAGTTAAAACATACCAGTGAGCAGCAGAACTCCGTCACTAGAGACTAATTTTCCCCCAACCAACTTGCGGTTGAAATACTTTATTTTACTTTTTTTTACATTTAATTGATCTAAAATAGTTATTATTTGCTTTGTTGCTCATTGATAATATTTTATTATATAATGATTAATTGAATAGATCAACTAGACAACCATTAACCACGTCTACCCTGCCTCCCTGCCCTAATGCCTGGTCGAATACCCTCCCCCTCTTTAGGATGTACAGATTATTCTACCAACTTTCCGCTAAAGAAAAGGAAACTATTTGTTAATATACAAACATACGATAAGGGCAAGGGTTAGATAAGTTTAAATCATCTACAAGAGGCACATCTTCGAAACACTGTTAAGAGTGTTTATAAATACAAATTATAATCCCGTTATTACCTATACTTTTAACAAATCTGTGGAGGAATTTCTGAGAAAGCGTTCGATTTCAGCATAAAAATGTTTTACGGGGAGGGGGATTTAAGTGAAAATTTCCAAAAAGTATATATTTGATACGTACACCATGCATATGTAACATTATATCTCCCTATTTTCATTTGGGGCCCTTTATAAGGTTGTACATAACTAAAAAAACCCTTATATCCGCAACAGTATGGTGAAGTTTATAATGAAACTCGTGCGAAATTGTATCACGTCAATCGATCTATGAAAAAAAAACTAATTTCCAAGCTCATTTAGTTCGGAAGAAGTCGTTATAATTGCCAAAAAGTAACATGAAAAAGACACAGTGGCCATCGATTAATTTGAACAGTCGCCTTATATGGGCATAATGGTTTGGACCTGAGTATAACGATACTTATATTTCACTTAAAATGGGCAACTACTTAAATACGGGCAAATGTAATAACTGGTCCCGACGTGTCCGCATCAATCGGAATCTACTATACTTATGTTTATATGCACTTAATAGACACATTCGTCAGAATCACAGAAAATCGTGAAATATTGCATTGTAACTACTAACTACTGGGTATTCTACAAACATTTGTTACGACTAGGGTACAGATTTAAATGATCTAAAAGGCAAAAATAATTCCTTATAAAATACAATTTAATGCATTTATTTAAAAAAAAGTTAAAAATTGCTTTAAAAAAATGACCTAAAAATTATTTTAAACGTAGAAACTGTTGTATAAATTTACTAAACACAATAATGCAATACGACTATATATATTGCAACTCGATAAATAACTTATCGCTTTTTTTATTGCAGCCGACTGTAGAAAAGTTGTTAATGGGCACACAATCAAAAAAATTATAATGATAATAAAAACCATACACACATCATACTGGTAGTGAACCCTAAGTTAGATCTATACAACCCCTCTTGCTACGCTGAGAACCTAAAATTAATTACAGTGGTAGTGTTTCAGGTTAATCTGCATTTACCATCCGGTCCCAATGTTAGGTCAAATATTCTTACATGTATCGTTTGTGACCTAACACTTACAGTATAGTAACAACTGAGCTTAGGATAATTTTGATAAAGTACCGAAATGAGTGAGTGAAGCTATTGTATTTGGGCGGTAGGTAGTCGCGGATTCCGATTTACTATACCCTAATAACAACTGAGTGGAAACGAACCGCCAGCTGTTCGCTCGTTTCGGTGCTCAATCAAAAATATCATAATGGAAGGATCCAGTGCGATAACCTATTAAGTTTAAATTTTCGAAAAATCGTTTTATTCTGATTTTAAAATGTGAAATAAACAATTATTTCCGATTATGAGATACGGTATTATTTGCAAAATGGACTTACCTGATTTTTAAATTTCAGTGAAAAACGTATAATAAGTATAATGAAATAATAAGAGTATTATTCGAGATCATGTAAAATTAGACCGATTATATATTAAAATCAATAAAAAAAAAAAAAATGCTACATATTTTCATTATAAATATTTGATATAATATAACAAATATTAACTTATGTGTAACATACAAGGTAAGCCCATAATTTTATATTATTTTATGTTCGTATATTGTCTGTGTAATAACTGTGTATAACTGTAGTTTTAATACATGGTATGAATAAATATAGAGGAATTCAACGTACTTTTTGTATAAATATGTACCTAAATTATATAACAAATATTAATGATTTAAAACAATTTTTTTTCTTTCTTGAACATTTTTTAAAAGTGTGCATACCAGGTTATTGCACTTGGCCTTTCAATAGACGTCACGCACTGTCTAAAAAATATAGATTACCATACCAAACAATAAAATAAATTTATAGATAATGAAATAAAAATCGAATTGGGTACATTGGTTATGATTTTATAAATGTATAGTTGAAAAGAAATCCGAACACACTTTCGAGGGAATCTATAGAATATTAGGTAATTTAGTTTATGTATTTTACTGAAAGCGACGATCTATCGAATTTACTATGAAAATTATAGGTAAAAATTGCATTATTTTTATTTTTACAAACTATGTTTTGTGTCAGAAATATTGATCCAATAGAAAAATAATAATATATCTTTTTTATTGAATTTTCAATTTAGTTGGTACCTAAGATAGTTGTTTTTTTAGTTTAGCCTTCCAATTTTTTTTTAAAATAACTAAGCAATACTGACAAAAAACGTAAAAAAAAAAAAAATCAAAATAATGATTTCGTTATTTTCAATTTTATTTTGTTTGTTGTAATTCGGTTAAAAATATTCTTATGTTGACGGAAAATGTATAATTACTTTTTCTAGATGTGGTAAAATTGTTGAGCTATTTATAAACATTTTAATTTTGCAGGTAATTTACTTAGTTTTTATTTGTTATTTACTTTGCGGATAAAATTGTTGGACTCAATAAAAATGCTTAAAATTGTAATATTTAATTTTTCTTTTTCTATAAGTTTTAATACACAATTTTGACGAAAATCATAAATATTATGGTCTCTCAAAACATGTGTAATCGAACATTAATCCAAATCGTTTTTCGTTAATAATAGTTTATTATTGCTTACAGATATAAATTAAATAACTTTAAGTACTCTTACCTTCCCACCTTCCTATCTTTTCACATACAATAGTGGCAAACCTGTCTCCAGTATCAGTTTTTGTTTTGCTTGTTGCCAAGGTAATTTAGTTATCAATAAAAATATGTAAAAAACGATGGGTCGTCGTTACTCGTTTTTGTTGCTAGCCTTTTTATTTTTTTAGATTAACTACCGGGAATCTAGATTTATTTTTCAAATAAAGAATCACCGAGTGAAATAACTGCATGTAAAATGTGAACAATCTATATCATTATTATTAACCGGAAACGATTTTTCGATAAATAAAAATAAATGTCTACACAATTATAATAGCTACATATTATTCGTTACGTTCTAAAAAAAAATGAAAACACCTACCAATTCGACCATTTTCACAGCACTTGTTTTTCGGTACTGGGGCCGTTTGAAATTCATTTCAATGAATATACTTAATTTGTCTACAAACGAAAATTATGGGTTTTCAATAAACTGAAAATGGAAAGTTATAGAAATAGTTAACGAAAAATGTAATTTATATCGAAAGGCTTTACAAGTAGATATTAAGTAGGTACATACGCAAGTGTACGCATACTCAAGTCAAATATAGTTTTGGAACTTAACAGTCATATATACCGGTAGTCACACCGAAGTAATTTTAAAGTTTTGTTGAAGAAATCGAATATTGTGTATTTGTGTGTACCAACTCAGACACGCTAATACACAATCATCACACTTTACAAGAATACGATGTCTTATATAATATTAATATAATAATCGGGGAATGAAAACACGTAAAGAATTAGAAAGCACGGAATAACTTGAAATGCAAAATCCCGGAATTTTAAATTTAAAATTCATGAAAACTAGGATCGGTAAAATATAAAATATTTTTAAAACAATTTCATTTTGTCCGGTCCATATTGTAAGTACGATTGTTAAAAAATTCCAGAATTTTACGAACCAAGTATTTTTTATAGGTACCCATCAGTTATTTTGGATTCCATTATAAATAATCGTTTGACAATTTATAAAATATATTTTTTGTTCGTTACGATATAATATAACATGTATTCGTTTATAATTGAACGGGATTGGTTAAACGACTGAAAAATTATTGTAAATTAACAATAGGTAAAAAAATAAAATAATACAAATATTGTAATAATAATCATTAATATATATATATAAAAAACACAAACAAGTTTTATAATTATTACGTTTTATATTTATTTGTAACGTTATACGCATGCCATTTACTATAAAAACATCGATTATTAAAGCTTTCTCCGACAAAATATTTATTAGTATGATAATGTATTTGAAAAATTCATTAATCGTATACTATTATTATTATTATCATAAAAAACGAAAAAAAAAACACTTTGTTAAATATTTTTTTTTAGTTATATACGTTTTTTAAAAATATTGGAAGCTTAACGGTATAGTATAATGACATTTATAAATAAATAGTAAACATACATGTATGAATACGAAAAAATTGATTGTTAATAAAGTTTATTAAGTAATTTTTACATATTAGTCCTGAATTTAATTCAGTTTTCTGGAACCCTAAGAACCCGACTAGGTCTTCCAGACTGAAAAATGCAACGACGTTTAAAAAATTTAGACTTTTTTTACTGAAAGCTTATTTTAAATAAAACAATGTACACCCTTAATGTATAGCATAGTATTTATTTATTCTGTTCCACGTCAAATATTATGTGTAATGTTATATTGTACTCTTGCCCCACCGCAGACATAAATTATTTAAATAATTATGCGTTTCTAACATAATTTTATTGTGTTCACTATATCGCAAAGTTCAATATTTAATTGAATCTGAAATATTTAGTATAAAACGAACAAAAATTTGTCAAGGATTGAAATTAAAAACACGTTTTTTCAATTTTTTTTTTAAAAAAAGTGACTTTTCTGGTTTTTTTTTCCCCTGTGCCTTTCATATATCATCAGACATCAGTACTACAGCTGATTTGGCGATTCAGTGTTCCGGTCACGAAAAGAGAATTTATCACTGCTCGTCATTTAACCTGCAGTAATATTTTAAACCGCGCTATACAATGTCAGGTGGTGCATAGAAATTGATAATATTTGTAACATTTTGTTGAGCGAATTTCATTTGAATATAAACATTGTTCAAGTTTGTATACACTTTATGTAATATTGTTATTTTCTGGGCTTTTTTAACATCGCTTTCTTATTATATTAAATAATGTTATAGTAATTATATAACGTCGGCCTGTGTCAGAGCGACCGGATGGAAATAACTGATATCATAATATTATTATGGACGTTTCCAACGACCGCGATATCTGTATTCTGTAAAAACTACGTTTATTTTTCGGCGACCATTATGTAATATTTTTCTTCCGTTATTACTATGGTTTTATAGCTATCGAGAGAGAAAAAAAAAATACAAGCGTATACGATAAAACACTATTTTATGGTAATATTCTTTTTTAAATTTTAAAAAAAAAAAATAATAATAATAATGATAATGGTGACCGACAATTTCTATACCTATGTACAACGTCGCGTTCATTATTCTTGTGTCTCGGCAAGACTAAGAGTCAATATTTGCCCCTCGTACATAATAATAAATTCTGCAGTCAAGTACTATTACACGGTATGACGCGCACTATATATTCGTCTACCTAATTTTAAATTCTAAGTGTAACGAGGAATGTACGTATTTGTTTTTTACTATAATGTGTTTGTGTATGTGTATGTTTATTGTAATTATTTAATATTTATTTTAATTCGGTTAAAAATAATCGTAGAGACCTGAATTGTCAAAGAATGGATATATTAGCCTTTAGTAGACATGGTAAAATTCAAAAAATTCTAGTAACTATTGTGCTATTTCTATAGGCATTTTATATTTTCGACTTTTAAATTTAGTTTTTATTCGGTTTAATGTGGATGATATTTTTTGGCTAAACAAAAATGCTTGAAAAAATTACATGAGGTATATCATAAGTTGTACTTAATTTTAAAAATGAAGTTCAACTCTTGAAGAAAATTTTAAAAACCTCGGTTTTTCAAAACATGTTTTACTAAATTTCACTCAGAATTATTCTATATGTTTTACATTCCAAACTTCCCACCTACAACAGTAGCATACCCATCAGCAGTATTAACTCTTTTTTATTATTAATACTACTAAATTTTGCTACAGTTATAAAACACATTATTATTTTATGTATTTATGCTTTTAAATATGTCTAATGAAAACCATTTCATGTACATTAAAAAACAATTTGTTCTGAAACAAAAAAAAAAAAAAAATGTAATGGCCATAAAATTATGTTTTGTTTACAATAAGGACCCTCAGCAAAATTTCTGAAAAATGTTTAATTAGTAAAAAAAGATATTTATGAGTTGGTTTTCTAATAAATTATGTTTGGGTTATATAAGTAATTGGCTGACGACAGATTTGACAAATATACATTCTAAATTAGGTATATTTTGTGTACAAATACAGCTATTATTTTTAAATGTGTATAGATTACGTATTTTAGTTCAAATATTTATGAAAACCATTAATAAATATTCTTTTTTTAAATTCTGAGTGTAGTGAGGAATGTATTGGTTTACTAAGATGTTTATTTAATTTTTTTTTTTTTATATTGTGTACAAAAATTCTATAAAAATTCAGAAATCTTGCTCAGATATTTACACGTGGCACCATTTCTGAAAGCTAATATTGTCCAAATGGTACTTTTGAGAGGTCATTTTTTGATTTTCTATTTGGTTTTCATAATATCTGGGAAAAATTAGGATAAAACGTAAGAAAAACGGGAAATTAACAAAAAAATATTTGTATTATTTTTCAATTTTGTTATTTGTTGTAATTCAGATAAAAATTATTTGTAGAGATTTGAAATTCAGACATAAAACTTTCATTTGCTTTTTCTAAACGTGGTCAAATTTTCAAAAAAATTGAGACAATTTTGAGATATTTATAGACATTCTAATTTCACGAGTTTTGTACGTAATTTTTATTTGGTAGGTACTCTGGGGTAAAATTGTTAGACTTAACAGAAAAGCTTAAAAATTTAACAGGAGGTTTATTAAGAGTCTTACTTTATGGTTGTCGAAAAAGAATATTAAAAAAGTATATTTTTATGTTAAATAACTAAATATCTTTTTCTCTAAAATGTGTTTGTCGTAGCTGAACGGTTATACATACCTATTTTTATCATACGGTTCGCGAGTTCAAACCCGTGTTTCGAAAATAAATTATTTGCATTTTTATTTCCCCTTTACCTAAACAAGGAAAAAACAAATGGATTTGGATGCGCCTAGAGACTAGATCCATCGCTCGTTCGGACTATTTGATCTCAAAATACCCCTCGATTTGTTGTGCAAACTTTTCCACCGAAATTCTTGCTCTGATGTATCAAGTGTAGCTTATTTTTTGAAAGGTAATTTTATCTCCATGGTAACTTCGGGAAGAAATTTTTAGATTTTCCTAAGAGTTTCCACAGCAAATGTGAAACATCGGAAAAAATGTAGGAAAAACGGGAAAATCGATACAATATTAAACAAATATTATTAAAAAAAATATAAAATGCCTATTTATTTATTTTACCATAATATGACATATATATTGTTGACAAAGCATCAATATCAACTGAACTGCGCTCAGAATCGTTTTTTCGGTAGCAATGATTTACCTTTACTTACAGATATACATTAAATTATTTATAACCATAGCTTCACCCGACCCTATTTTGACGTCTTTTTTTTGTTTGTTTTATATAATATTAAAATAATAATAATATTATTTTATTATTTTTGATTATTTTCAAATCCCTGCTAAGTCATTTTCATTGGCAGATTTAATATACCTATCGGATGACTGAAAAAGGTTCACTTATTTTTATATTTAAGTACTTTTACTCAAATACTTTACAAATCTGTTGATCAATACCTATATAAAGTATAAATGGATAATAATATTATATACTCTTCATTGTTNTTTTGATTATTTTCAAATCCCTGCTAAGTCATTTTCGTTGGCAGATTTAATATACCTATCGGATGACTGAAAAAGGTTCAATTATTTGTATTTAAGTACTTTTACTCAAATACTTTACAAATCTGTTGATCAATACCTATATAAAGTATAAATGGATAATAATATTATATACTCTTCATTGTTAGCTATATGCATAATAATGTAAATAAACTTAGCTACATAATTCAAAATATATCTACCCCCACTCCCATTAAAAAAGCTTCGGAATACGTGCTTATATTATATACTTGTTTTTTTATGACCTTTAGTATCTTTATGAGAGTATAATCTATTTAGAATATTATAATGTACTTTTCTTCGAAGGATTGCCGACATAATATAGTGATTTTTTTTTATCGTAATGCAATATAATAATATGATAATAATGAAATAATAATATACATATATATATACATTATAATCGATTAGTTTTTTTGTCATTCGTTCAAGGTATAATAAGGTGTAGTGATAAAAATGTAAAAATAATATTAGAATAAAACTCAAACGGTTCCATATAATAATAATATAATACAATGATTTAAAATAACCGAAAGTATATTGAACTTAAAATAATCACTTTGAAAAATAACGATTTTCCCCGTCTGAGTAAAAACGATCCATTACAATAATAATTTGCATGTTATTATACTTTTATTCGCATATAATATTAAAAGCTATAATAGCATTATTTATAAAATATATTATACGATTTATAATATTTTAAACGAGTTTAAGTATAAGTATCAAAAAAAGAAAAAAAATGAAAATATGAGTCGAGAATTATTAGAGAAAAAAATATATAAAAAAAAATTGATACAAAAACATTTCACTGATGTTATACATAGTAATACGCCCGCTGATACTGATTGAATACAAATAAAATATAATGATGTTATTTCTATCCTTGTATTATACTGCGCGCAGAATATTATTCTCACACATGTGCACATCAGTATCGTGTGCGTATTCACGGACCCAAAGTGAGATTACACAAAATGTGTATACATAAACCCGACCCTCGAAAAATATCACGTGCCTTTACTTTTATTTATTTTACAATTTTTTTTTTTATTTTATGTTCTCGTATATATTTTATAAATCATATATGCCGAGGTAACACAATCGACTTTTTTTATTGTATATTTTTAGAGAAAAATAAGCGTTCGTGATTAACAACGAATTCTTAGTCTTATAACTATAAAGACCTCAATTTTATGCATTACCATGTTCGTGCTAACTGTACGCACAATCATAAGGGTTTAAAATGTGAACGATTCAAATCAAACTGATTTCATGGACAACATTTTATTTTGCATGCGTATTGATACATATTTAAATGGTTGTTGCATATTTGGTTATTAATGAATATTACATCTGACCTGCGTATCGTATACGCATTTAGTATAAATTTATGAACTATTTTCTCTTCTCAGATCTAAATAATACAATAATTTACAATGAAAATGAGAATTAATATTATGTTGAATATTGATCAGCGATCATTTAATTTAAAATTTTCACGGAAAAAATGTTGGTTTTTTTTCGTTCTAACATAGTTCCATGTTTACAACATTGCGTTAATATAATATCTATGTTATTTCCAAAGTGAATACAAAATTACAATGCAGTGGCTACGCAATTTATGTTGGATCATGTTATTCGTGCCACTGCTGTGATTTTTACATACCTCCACGAAATACCGAGTTTATCTTGTTAGTTTTCATCGACGTTTGTTGATGTCAGATAATTATATTTTTCATTTGTAGTTTTATCGTGATTCACTTTAAGTTTTTATTAATTTTATCACGCAGACAATTTGAA